CATATTGTTTAATTTTGCAACCATCTGGACGTTTGGCGTTTTACCTGAGAAGTGCACTGAAGATTTGAACTCAAATCTCAGGCCTTAAAAAACTAAGTTGGGCTGAATTAAACCAACCATGTCTACAACTTTAATATTCTACCTTAAGCTTCATCTGCATGGTCCAGCAGGAACTACTACTGTAGTTGTTTACATGGACAAAGGTCACTAAAAGCCTGGTTATGGCTTAAGTTCATGGTAATCACTTTCTCCTCGCAGTAAATAAATTACTAAATATAGTTTACCTTCCAAAATGAAACTTTTATAGAACACTTTAGGTCTCAAAGGAAAAATTCCTAAAATGATTTATTGCATTTACATTTAAAAAAATGTTAGAACAGAAATGCATTCTTTACCCAAGCCTTACATTCCTGGCACAACCCAGAACCGCACTAACGACGCCCTATGTACTCTCTCTTTCTGGACTTTCTGTTTCAGATATATTTTTTCATACAGGTTGCGATCATAGTCAAATGCATTCCTGTGAGTCTTAAGGATGTCACAGCACCATGAGCTACTGTACAGACGATTAAAACAGGAAGTGAGTAACAGAATAGCTGGCAGCAGTCACCTTCAACCGTCTTTTTCACACACAAGTTTGTTTTGCTTCTAGTATCTGCGTTTTTTAAAAAATGGGTGGCATCAGAGGATGTCCTTTTTGTACATTCTTAACTGACCAATCAGAACTTATTAGTAGAGGCATTTTGTGGGCACGGTCGAAATATTTTATTTCAGCTTAGAAATATCAATATTGTATTTTCAAAATCTAAAGAGGTCTTTTTTTTTTTTGTTTAGAAGTAGGAATGATTTTATCAATTCATTCCTTTTCTTGGTGGCGCCCTCTGCTGCCCCTTCAGCTAAAAAATGGCTCCCTTAAATCAGCTGTAAAGATTTGAGAGCTTCCTCTGAAATTTGTCCTGGTAGTTTTGGCATAATCTTGCTGACTGACAGACAGCAAGGTGTTCTAGATCTCACAGAAAACACTTCTCCAAGGAACACAACCATTTTATTGTCCATCAGATTTATTGCAGCTGAGTACAGGTCAGGTTTATGCCAAGGAGTTGTTTATTTTTGTCACAGCATGAGTAGGCAACAGTGGG